CGAGAAAGTAGGCAAAGTCGAATGATTCCAAGCTTATAAAACGTAGTTGTAGACTGCGTGCTAAAAATTGCCGTACGCACTCAGCCAAACCTACTCAAAATTCATTTTGGAGTGAAGGAACGAAACACTGGGGCGGGTGATTTGTAGTTCATAAAGGTTACTCAACATTTGACAAGAGGGAGCATGGCGAGGTCGAGGAGGAAGTTCAACAAGCCTGGATGAGCATCAATTTTGTATTTCATGCTGAAAAATCTTCAAGTGGGTAGTATAAATAAAGCCATTATTGAATGGGCTTAGATATAAGCCACAGCTATTACGACTACCGTTGCTTAACGGCAGAAACACATCGCAGCTGGGCCTTCCCCATCTTCTTGATGCCATAATCCGCCAGTAAGCACGCAGAGCAGACACCAAGTCGATCAGAAGGATTGTCCTCCGTCGTCTACCGCACTGAATGCAGTATTTACCGTGCAGGAGCGCAGTGGCTACTTATCTCGAATCCCTAAACATGTACTTAATATTCACCATATCTTTGACGCGTCCGGCAGTTACATGCTTATCCACGGTACTGTCAAGTGTTGTGTGAGCTGCAGGAGATCTGATATTTAGAGGCTACCCGAAATAATCACCGGAAAATCACCCCACCAGTGTAGAAGGCTCTACACATCCACATTCAAACATGACTGACCCAAGGCTGAGTTGAGGGCGTCGCAACCGACGGTGAGTTTGGAAATGTTTCACTGGTCGAGAGGCATCATCGACAAAAATAAGACAAACTGTAGGAGCAAGTATGGCTTATTTGTCATCCTCTTCAGTCAGCCAACGCCGGACCGGAAAGACCCCAAGCTTCAACGTGAGCTATCTTGACACTTTTCGTCGCTGTTCGGTCGCCTGCACGTGCTCCAGGTCAAACCGGAACCGTCTGTATTCCGTACTGCTTAGGTAACTCGAGTAATTTTCATGGGATGTTGGGAAATCTCGACCCTTTGCACGAAATCCTGAAACGTTGTGTTGGGAGCAAAATTGACAAGAAACTATCTTTGTCATATAGTATTTGCGTGGCATTATTATTCGTTTGAGAGAAGGTTTTCTTGAAAATTTTCTGTTTATCATTAAGGGAATCATTTCCAGTAGGCCTGCCGCAGTTTCCAATGCACCTTTGTAGGTGAGCGATTACAAATGAGTCAACTGCACATTAATGGCTCCCGAGGACGCGAAAAAATATAATACTGGGTCGGTTGGTGGTTTTATAAGCAGTGCCTGAGCTGTTTGGATTTTGCGCATGCCTTCTGAATAGAGCTGCCCGTTGCCAAACCACTGGATTTATTTCCGTCGGAAGCCGCCGTGCTATCAACAACCCACAGCTGAGGCTATCGCCTCCCTTATACTCGATGACGACGAAATCTCGTCTGTCTGTTTCTTTCGACAGTTCTTTTATCTACAGATCAAGAAAAAATGTAACTAACAGTTTCTTATTTGGCATGTTTATGCTAGTATTTTTCTACGGAGCTCACTCTTCAGCTTCTCAATGAGAATGACCAGAACTTTCAGGTGCGCTTCAGAAAATTTGAAGCGGAGAATACAACCGAGGAAGGAATACTAACCAGACGCAACACGCCACCCGAACCTCATAAAAAACTTGAGAAAAGAGCATGTGGGTCCGGAGTTCACAGTCGCCCTTGATTCATGTCTTCTAAGCGACTGTGCGAATGAGCCTAGATATCAGAAAGGAGGGACGACAGAGAATGCGGGTAGACTGATACAGTACTGTTTCGGGCTTATTCTGATTTCATACGGTCTATCGTAACCCCGACCACCAGGTACCACCAGCTGCGGCAGGAAGCACAAGGATACGCGCGTACACGACGCGAATGGTCCACACGCGGAGTCTAGCAGATGACTCATAAGCACTCCGTCGAAACGAAGTTCATCAGTGCCTCGCCACACGTTATGTTCTGTCGCTGCCGATCGGATATTTATTCAATCAGACATGGGCTCCCACCGATCTATTGGCCTCACGAAGCAAACAAACTCCGTATGGATGGCCAAGATCACAAACGGGCAATCACCATACCGAAGTCGGCCATGTTACAGTAGCAGGAGATTATGATTGGCTGGATGAAGGCAGAACAAGCCCGGAGCAGTACTGCGTCAATCTATTCTCATTCTCTGTCGCCCCTCCTCGCTGATATTATGATTTAGCCGACTTCGACCTGGTAGTTGGCTGCCTGTCTGTGACCTTTTCAACCCACACGGAGTTAGTTAGTTCTAGGAAGTCAATAGATCGGTATGCGCTTATCCCTGATTAAACTGAGATATGCCTGACTGCCAGTGTGGGGCCTGTCTCTATGGTGCCAGTGTTGGGACGTTTTTGTCTTCGATATCCAAAAAAGTTCATTTTGACACTATGACTTCGTTTTACGGCCACTGAGCCTCGGAGCCGTTTCTCGAAGTCACGACCGTTCAGCAACCGCGGCAGAACATAACAATTGGTCAACACACCTATTGTTGTTGAGGCGAGATAGGCACAGTTCGGGTCGGTTGCACTGCGCATTTATTCCAGTAAACAATTTTTTGGGGTGAGACCACCGGAGTACGGGGGTTTAACTCAGGATACACAAGCCTGGACGATTAACTTGGTCCTCAGCATTCGTCGGGGGCAGTCTTGGTGTCCATCTTACCTGACCACACTGCCCCTGCAAATATAGACATTGTATTGACCCATTTGATGATGAAAAAATCATCCCAACAATTCACTCCAGGTACCTTAAAATACCAAATCCTTCACACGCACTCACACGCAGTTTATGGGCTTATTCCGTCGCAAGCGTACAGACGTCGACGATCACAACCACATCCTGTGCAACTCATGTGGCAATTACGAAACCCAGTTTCCCAAAGTCGTAATGACGGACAGAACTTCGCATGTGAGCAAGTGTGCCTCCCCGTATTTGATATCTGCGCATTGGCGAAGTCTGGTCCATGTGAGGTCAAAGGCCATCACAAGTATGTGATGCAGGTATATCGATGCTTTAACGCCACCCCAACAACCGCACCCACTCCTAATACCAGGCGGCTGTACTCGGCCTTGTCTTTGGTATGAGAGTGGGGACAAGGAGTGAAGTCGGTTCCCGAGCACTACCTCATCTCTGCAAATGCAATCAAAATGCAGTAAACTATCACGAGGTCCTACAATTAGTGAATTGGAAGGTTGGCCGCTCACAAATAACTGGAATCCTCTCTTTTGATAAGGTTCATATAGTGGACGGCGGTCTCTATCCTCAGATTATCCATTCCTGGTTTTGAGATATGACTGAATGGTGGGGGTGATGTGCGATAAATGACCGTTCCGGCTTCCCTGTTCTTTTTCGGCACTTACTGCTTGTCAATAAGCAAGAGCTTGCGAGTGGATTTTATAGAGCGATGTTGACTGAGTATTCCCTCAAAATCTGAACTCATCCTATTCCTGATAGAGGAGGAAATACGTACTGTTATTTGTCGTTTTTATGTACAAGTCTGCATAAAATCGATGTAATACACTAAAAAACAGCCTACAGCTATGGACACCATATGCCTATTGTATTCTAAATATTCGTAGGAAACACTTTATTTTTCACAAACATAGTTGAGTAGTGACATTTACCGCCGCGTAGAAAAGAACCGCAACCAGCCAAACTACAAAATTCTCGAAATTCAGCTTCGTCGGTAATCCTTAGCAGCTAACGGGCACCACGACAGATTTGTAAAGTCCCAGTGGAAGAAACCCGCGGGTGAGATTAGGATTGGAGTTCTGAACCTCCGTGTTCACGTTACAGGTGCGTTCCAAAAATTCGTAAAAATGTTGGGGGAATTTGGGACTGGAGTTTCTTACAGGCTGGAAGCGACAATCGGCCAGCAGCTCATGATTCCTAAGTATCCAATGCCGACTGATAAAAAATCTGAAGCCATATATTGAACCGAATAAAACAGTGGCCAAGCCAGGTTTTGTGGCGAAATCAGAAGACAAGATCAAAGGAGACTGCACTAAAACAAGCTAGCTGGGAATTGGAAAGGCAAACAATTGTTCGTGGCCGCACACTCCTCCTCGCAGACAAACCTCAAAATTCGACCGTCGCATCCGACGATGTCCACCGTGAGCTCAGTTGTAGGGTGAGAGCAGGCACGGTGACCTACACGTGATTTCTTTCATAGCGACATCAGACTAGCGCAGCATCTACCACACTCTCTCCTCCCCCACCTGGACCCGGTGTCCAAACAAAGTCAATATGTCCGGAGGTGGGGAGGACACAGGTGGATGGCACGGTCGAGCCCGCACCTTGACTCTGCACTCGACAACCCATGGTCCACACACCAAATGACCAGGATTTTAACCAGCAGCCAAAGAGTCTGGTGCGGCCGAAGTCGCACCAAGGCGTGCCGTGACACCTGGCCCGGAGCCCATGGAGTTGAAGTGCCCTGAAAGCCACAATGAGAAGCAGCCATTGCGGCCAGACTCGTAGACCACTAGTCGGCCGCTCCGCGCAAAAACATAACATTGAGCCAACTGCGAGGTCCAAGTTACCCCGTCAGTTGACAACCTTCCAAGCCACGGCTTCCAGCGCACCGTGATAGCTTCAAGCGCGTCAGATTGTTTATGGTGAGGAAAATGCGTTGAGTCGTCGACCTCACTCTCCCTTCCCATTTCCAGGCCCCAGACACTGTCCGAACCGGGCATTTAACAGGTGCGGGGAATGGACCTGGTGGTTGACATATATAGCTCCAACGCAGTTGCAGTTGTCTCAGCATGGCGCAACTACGAATGTGGAGACCGTGTCGATTATAAACTGTGTTTTGTGGACGACCATGGACTTGTCTGGCCTTAGAAATCCAGCGGATCACTTCATCGTCGATGTTGGTGGAGCGAGAGAGGGTGATGCCCAGGTAGGTAAAGCTGTCCACGGCTTGCAGTTGGGCGCCATTCACGTTGATGTGAATTGCAGTGTAGGCAGCGTCGGTGGCGGTCAGCGCATAACCGCCGTCTCGCAGGCGGCGAAGAGCAGTTCGTGGAGGGTGGTTGTGGATATACGCGATTGGAAGTGCATCCGCCTGCAGTTGAGGATGTGGCCGTCCATCATATAGGCCACGCGGATCCCGGAGCATTCGTCACGGTAGGCGTCCATCAGCATGGCAGAGAACATGAGACTGCAGAGGGTAAGCGCGTTGGTCACTGCTAGTGCCTCTGGTACAATCCCCATTGACCGTGACGCACTCCGTCATGCCATCGTGGAGCTCACACACCATCTGATTGAATCGCTCGGGGCAGCCGATCTTCTTCATGATTTTCCACAGACCATCACGATTCGCCGTATCAAAAGCTTACTTCAGACCAACGAATGTAGAGTAGAGGCGGACCAGCATCTCCCGACACCTCTCCTGCAGTTCACGGACAGAGAAAATAATGTCCGTGGTCCCACGATGAGGGCGGTAGCCGCAGTGGCTTTCCGGCAGGAGACCGTGTTCCAGATGTTTGTTCAGACGACTGAGAAGAATGTGAGCGAAGACTTTCCCGGCGATTTTCAGCGGGCCGATGCTTCCGTGGTTGTTGTAGGTTTGGCGGTTTCCTTGCCGCTTGTGGAGTTGGACGATTGTGGCGTCCTTGAAGTCCTGGAGGACATCTCCTTGATGCCAGCGCTCCTGGAAGAGCGCCTTCAGATGATCCATGAGTTGGGGGCCGCCATGCCCGCAGATCTCAGCAGGGATTGCGTCCGATCTGGCGCTTTCCCGCTGTAGACCTGTTATACGACCTTGATGGTTTCCTATGGAGAAGGCGCAAGGTCAATATCAGCGTTGGTCTCCATTTGGAGCAGACGGGCGATGGCGGCGTCAGAGATGGTAGAGGGGCGGTTGACGACGCCTCGGAAGTGATCGGCCCATCACTGTGGAATTGGTATCTTCATGATGGGTAGAATGGTTCCGTCGGTGCTGAGAAGGCGAGTGGTACCTCTGGCTGTGAGACCGTAGACAGTCTTGATCGCGGCGAAGACGTTCTGCCATTCGTTGCGGTCCGCGTATACTTGGATCTCCTTGGTCTTCCGAGCCACCCAAGCGTCCTGCATCTCACGCAGTTGCTGTTGCACAACGCGGCGGCTACTGTAAAAGGCTGTTTTGTTGTCGTCCGTGGGGCGGTCTACGTAGGCTTTATGCAGTCGGTTCTTCTCGGCGAGTAATTTTTTGATGGCGGGGTCATTTTCGTCGCACCAGTCCTGATACTGGCGACTTACGCGACCGAGGACAGTTAGAGCGGTCGACTGGACTGTGTCATGTAGTTGGTACAGTCGGGTTCTCCACGGAGGCGTTCTCGTAGGGGGCCTCGTCGGCAGCGGCGACTGGAAGGTTGGCTAACCATCGAGCTAGCTCATTGCTGAAATGGAGATTGTGAGCAGGCAAGGAGAACAAGGTAATATTCAACTTACCTGGGGGTCGCTTACATTGAGGTGTCCTGCGAGGCTGTAGGCGAATCCGCATCCTGGAGATGACGAGGTTCTGGTCAGTCTACCCATCGGCACCCGGGATCGCTTTTGTCACCAGCACGTCCTGCTGGTCTCGCCTGCGGCCGAGGACATAGTCCAGCAGGTGCCAGTTTCGCGACCAAGGATGCGTCTAGGTGGCTTTCTCTCGCGTCGGATGGCGGAAGGTGTTGGTCAGAATGAGGCGGTGTTCTGCGGAGGTTCTTAGGAGGAGTAGGCCATTGCCATTGGAGCTGTAGAGACCATGGGAACCCAGCACTCCTCTCCAGACAGCATGGTCTGTGCCGACGCGGGCGTTGAAGTCACCAAGGGCAATCAGCTTGTCTGCCTTCGGCACATTCGCCAGGATGGCATGCAGATCTTCGTAGAAGTTGTTCCTTGCGTAGTCAGGGCTGGTCATCGGGGAGCGTAAAGCCTGACCATGTTGACAAATTTGCCTCCCCGGAGAGGCAGGCGGAGTACTTTGTGTCAATCATATGACCGGATTTCGAGCCTGCTGCTCCGAGATTGCGATTCACTTGATGGCTCAGAAAGTGGGCATATGTATCAATCCGCTAGTCACTTACCAGGTGCTGTTCAACTTTCTTATTTTCAAGGCTGACATTTGACTATGTGGTTGTATTCCCGCTTTTCTCACAGTCCAGAATACTCACATGACATACCTTGAAAGTCTGTCCTTAATCCATTTTCAGGTTGTCACAAAATAGTATAGACCGCGTTTTCTTTTAAAGCGAAACTTAATTTGCTATATGAATTATCAGTCCTCTTAAGTTCCTTGATATCTCGCATAATACATTTGCAGGGAAAGTTGGCGATTCTATATTCCCACATAACTTCATTAAAGTTCTGCACTGCTGCAGGAACTACCTTCCATGTACTTGGCTCTTATGTCTCCCTTACAGTGCCATATAGGAGATAATACAAAGAACCTTCAACTTGGTTTTAGTACTTGTTTAAGGCTCAGATCACGTTAACTTTGTTAATCCTTATCCACAACACTAAAACACGATCAGATATGGACAGGCGAAAATCTAAAAGTAATCAGTTAGTCCCCTGTTTGTCGTTGAGGCGCATCGTTGACCGTCATGCATTATTCTGCATTGTTCAAATGTTCTTGTTAGGCGAAACCGTGTACTGAGCACTATTTCAGGATTACGATGACCTCGCATTAAATAATTCTATCTAGAATTGATGGGTGAACTTTAAGTCAGTAGTAATCCGCACAGATTCGAATTCAGAAGCGTTGTACTTTTATAAGCCCGTCAAAGGTACATACATTTGTTTGAGGTCGCTACAACGAGATTAGATATTGTTGGTTTGTGCTTAGAAAGATTTTATGCTTCTTCGCAGACAATCTTAACCAAGACTTGTCATCCAAAAAATGACTGTAAACTAACTTTTCCTCACAAAGTTTGCATTACTGCTCGCCGAAGCAGGTATGCAGCGACCTCCACCTCCATATTCAGGGTTGACACTTTGCCTGAACACACTAAGTGGTCACGGGAGGGCGCAGGCGAAGGTCACCTCTAGTGACAATATCAACAAGCCAAATCACCAAGTGATGATCAGGCCAAGAATCCACAACGATGATGAAATTACGGCAATTAGCAGCTCAGATGTGAACGAGTGAGCAATCGCTGTACCAATTACAACCACCGGCGGTGAAAGCGGTGATTACTAATTGTGGCGGACGTGTGATGGCACGGCGACTGCATGCCCTGTGCGTCTCCCACCCTAATCTGCGACTGTCCCTGATGATGGATTAAAGTGGGATTTCGAAACGTCAGGCGACTAAAAGTCTTGTTCCAGTTATTGCATCTCATTCGTCTGAGCCGTTTTCCGGTCCTCGCCCCTTCGCTTTGAACAGAAGTAATTTGTCCACATTAAGTGTGCCCACTACATTGCGAAAACCTGGTTCGTTTGTGTGACAAAACCAACAGCGTTGTGTGACGTGCGTGTTTTGCGGGTGTCCTGCCTGTCACGGGGTCCGAACTGGAGTCAAATTTAAATTAATCACCCTTATTACTGGAACACGTCAACTTGAAGATCAGAGGAGATAGTACAGAGTCTTTTCCGAGTCTGAGCACCCGAATGTGTGATTTGCTTGGGCGTGGGAAACTAGCATAGTCATCCACTATCATCCAGTCCACTTTGCGCCCTTATTGACTCATTACCGCCTATGGAGTTCGTTGACAGTGGGAAACGAGAGAGTGAGATGGGTGCTGTGAGAGAGATTTTTCATAATCTCACATTCGCGGCACATTATTTCTGCTCAGGTGAGGTGGGCCGCGTTGACAAGGCAACCAGCAGCACTGCTGCTGTAAAAACGAAGGAGTGCGCGGATTTCGATTAGGGAGAGAGAATAGAGAAAATAGACAAGATAATAAAAGGACAAAGACTAGACTTCAATGATTTTTTCGGCAACTTTTGGGAACGGGTGAAGGCCAGCCGTCTGGACATTATAACAACATATTGGTCAGATGTGGTTATGTAGCCCCACCTGAAGTAAACAAACCCCAGACACCTGCAATACGGGATAGGTGGTAATAGGGGTTTTTACAGATGGGGTCGGAGGGGCGCACAGGCGACGAGGTCAAGCAGATGTATGCAAAAGAAAAGCTACTGGGAATGCACGGTTGTACTTTGGGTGGTTGAGAAATAGTTGTCCTAACCCCAACCCATAATCCCTAACCCTAGCCGATTCAGTTCCCTTGAAAAATTCATTCACCTGCTTATCTAATTTTCGAGAGATCTTGCTATTTCCCTGGACAGCAAAGTGTCATTCCACGGCTATTACTGGCTTGAACTCCGCAAGCTAAATCATGCCGTAAATTTAGTCTTTCAAATTTTGCGTTTAAAGAATTTTCAAGCAAAAGACAATTCAGAAAAGAAGCGTTGGATGGGAAAAATTTAAGTGGATGAGACCGTAATCTAAACTGCGTTAAGACTTTTTCATCTCTATTCCTTTACTAGCGTAATTTGAGTTACCTACTGTTGATAGTATTTCTTGGAAAGCCTAATCAAAAGACCGATTCCCTATGTGTTGTGCGACATTATTTTCCTCTTCTCTCACACACAGGCGCGCTTTTTCTCTAGGCAAAATAACGTTTCTTCTTTGCATATTCATATTAATTAGGAACGTTGTCTATTGACCACGCCCCTGGCCACTGAAGTATAGGAAGCTCATTCGTTCACCGCCCAGATCACCCATAGTGGAATTTGCCATTTTCTTTTGTGATTCATCATGAGATTTGAAGATATTTTGGTCGGATGTGGCTTGGTAGCCCCACCTAAAGTAAACAAACCCCAGACACCCCAAATACGGGACCGCTGGTAATAGGGTTTTTTACAGATGGGACTGGAGAACACACAGGCGATGAGGTCAAGTAGTTTATGCAAAAGAAAAGCTATTGGGAATGCGCGGTTGTCCTTTGAATGGGTGAGAAATAGTTGCATTAACCTCCAACCCTAATCCTAACCCCTAACCATGAGTCCTGTTCCTAACCCCTTACCCCAATCCCAACGGTATTTTGTCAATCAGGTGGGGCTACATAACCACATCTTACCGACATATTTTTATTTGACAACAGAAGGTGTTCACTTAGCGTGGGTCTACGACAGGCACTCGAAATGCGGCATCGAGGTCGGCCAAAAAAATCTAAAAACGGGCCCTGTTTATAATTTGCCGGGGAGGGCTAGAGGGGTCGGAATTTGACCTCCTAAGGCGACCGCGTCCACCGTGTGCCCTGCAGTGGTAGGCTATGCAGCTGAACTGAGGACATAAATGCTCACAATGTTAAACAGGCAAATACGCGCCAGCCAAAAAAGTGTGCCTGGAGATTTAGCCAAGACTGTGGCAGCTGCCAGACTACCGTCCATGGAATGGTAAAGAAATATCCATTTTGGCTTTGCCCAAGTACAACAGGAGGCGGTCACTCCACATGCTGGTGATCTTCTGCACTATCATTTCGAAGAGACATTTAACGGCCGATTAATTTGTCGAGGTAAGGCCGTTGGGTGGGCACCTATGTCTCTTGATCTTATCCCCCCATTCAGTTCTTCCTCCGTGGTTACTGGAAACACGGGGTTTACAACAACAGAATCAATACCATGGAACGGTTGAGGCAGGCTATATACTGTACTTAAGTCAAATTACTGCAGACATTTTGCACCGCGTCTCGAATCTTGGTCTGGAAAGATCTTACTTTATTAAACAAAACAAATAGCAGCATCTTAAGCATTTTAAACTAAACTTTAGATTATCACTTTACAATTACAGTGTCCTTTTCCATGCCTTATTATGCTGCGTCGGATGCTGGGCAGTGTTTTGGCTGGAGGAGAATTTGTTTAAAGATTTATTGGGAGTCAATAGTTAATATAGAGACGCTACTACTGAGACTTAAATAATTTGTGCCCTAGGTGTCCTGCCTTCGAAAAGACAACAGTGTGCTTACGCCGCGCTAACAGCGGAGCCCATCAGCTCTTCGTCGAAGATCCAGCGGCTGAACTTCGGAGGTGAGGCCTGGCGCATGACTCACCACATCATGTGCTGTAGGAATTAACCGCATTCATCTATTTTGTAAAAACCAGCCAGACACTGACTTCGCTTTATGCCGCTTTTTATCCCTTTGGCAACAAGGTTCGGGTGACAGGTAGGTGTAGGCCTTCCACTTATTGCCAATTAAACCTGAAATAATTTTTTTCTCTTATCCTCAGTTCATTGAATTTCGCGCCTACACTACCCCTGCCTGCCTACTTCTGTCCGAACAAGGCACTCATGTGTGACTGAATATGTGTGTTCGGCAGCAAAAATGTCCTCTTACTGATCCACGCTGTACTGATGGGTAGCTCAACTGACCGGGTCTAACGACCTGGACAGGCTTGTGCCGAGAGGACTGAGGGCACACGCATGCACGCGCGCGGGCGGGCGTATGCGCATGAGTGCTTGCTGGTTGCCCCCCAGCTTGTGTGCCAGAGATCATTGCAGATTATCTGCCAACAGTTCCCACTCCAGAGGCGACTATCCTGTTTCGAGCCATCATAGACGAACATGGAAGTCATTCATATTCACCTAAATTGAAACTTTAGCCGTGGAATTGGAATAAACAGCCACAGATTGTTGCCTCAAAGTGGATGAATTAATAATTCAATAGATGGTCTGGAATCTGTTTGCTCCTCTATGTGTAACGGTTGCAGAGTGGCGCTCCCGCCCAGGTCACCTCCAGTCGGGCAGCAGTCTGTTGTGCGTAGACCGAATAAGCTGCGACGCAAAGTTGCGTGCACGAATCTGTCTATGTTGTTGAGTGGCTCATCACCAGTTGGCCTACAGGATCGAACAGTTAATTGCTGCATGGGAGAAGGAAGAAGGAGTAAGGTAGACTCGGGGTGATCCATATTCAA